TTGTGAGATGTACGACAGGAACCGAAGGGTGCAGGATAAAAGAGATCTTCAGTAGAGAGGGAACAATAGCAAGGAGTCTTAATAAGACAAAAATTACAGCCAGAAATCACACGATGCATGGTGGGACAGGTAAGTGTAAGAAATGGAATTCTATAAACTAAGACATTAGAGGAATCGACTGAGATAAGTTGAGGTGGTTGAGCTTTCGTAACATAGCGGAAATCACAAAGTGACTTGATGAGACTTTTACTGTTTTGGAAAAGTGCAAGGACACATGATGGTTTAGGTGAAGACTGAAGCGCTATTCTGAAGGGACAGTGGATAACAAAATCATCACCTGTGCAGGAGGCTAGACTAGAAGGATCAAGGCTAATGTGACGCCGAGAATCAGAGGAAAGGGCAAAATAAGATGGAGCGTCCAACAGTTGGGTGGAGTGGGAGGAAGTATTGTTCACAGGCACTGGGACAGAGATAACTTTATATATTTGAAAAGGTGTAGTCAAAGAAGATAAGGGAAATTTAACAGAAACATAGATATGGGACTTCGTGCGAGCGAAGATAAATTTAGCATGAGAATAGTAAAAGGTTGGACTTGTTTGGAGCAAATGGAAATTTGGGTATTTATTGGATAAAATTAATGCCAGATGATGGATCGTTTGTTCCAAAATATGAGGGGCAATGAGCAGGGGAGACAACTTATTCTTAGCCAAGTCTAAAATTCCTAATTTCAGTTCCTCAAGCTGATGCTCCACAGTATTTGACTTTTGTATTTGGTCAATTAGAAGGGAAGTCAGGGATGCAAAGGTGGATTGGATATTTTTAGCATTATTCTGTATTGCAGTGGCTGTGAACGTGACGGCATCATGATTTGCCTTAACGCCTTTTAGGGCATTTTTAAAGCGAGTGTCTACTAATTTCATGAAAGAGGAGAGATGGACTGAGTGCTGCTGTAATACATTTGAAAGGTTGATGTCATGTTTGGTAAGCGCATTTATATGCTTGGCCAGCAGGTTGACGTCGTCAGTTGTGGCTGTACCAAATAAAGTTTTTGAAAGTGAACCTACAAAACTAAGGACGGCTCGTTTTGAACGACTGGATGATGGGATTTTGGATTCTGGAATTAATTTAAGTATTTGCTGTCTTGTTTCATTCAGTTTGGCGACACATTTAGTTTTAATAACGTTAAGATGCATTTGTATTTGATGTAGGAGAGCGCATGTGCCATTGCCTTGATGACATCCGCTCATGGTAGGAATGCTTGGAATATGGGGCATCTTAACTTCATAAGTGTGTGTCCAATATTCTGTTGAGAAATGGGCTTGGGTGGTAGGCTGAAAAACTATGCCATAGTTGAGTCTTTGTACTGGACTGGTGCCAAGGGTAGGATGAGCGAACAGAGCCATAAGCCACAGGATTATCAAGCTCCAGGACGGACCTTTGATGAAATGAGAAAGGAAGCCATTAGAGTTGACCTGGCTGAGAAGAATGTTGTGGCCACAAACATCAAAACAACCTAGCACTATAGGACACAGAAACTGGGTAACTGCAAAAGGGGTTGGTCACTCATAACAATGGCAAATTGACTCACGTCATAAAGATCACTGTGGTAGCCAAACAACACCTATGCAAATGATCTACTGAAAAAACTTGCGCCCAAGTTTGCGCCGCCTACCAGACATTGTCCGAGACCTATGGAAATGCTTGATCAGGGATGGATCAAGATTGGAAGCAGGCTCCCAAGTAGTTTGTGAATAGCCTAACCATTTGATTTGGTACATTTTGGTACCCTTTGCCTGTTTACATCTAAGTATTTGTTCAACAGGATATGTTTCATCGTCTTGTGATGTGTCTTTCTGTTGCCGAGAAGTAGATGGTGAAGAGCCTGAATCAGAGATGTGTGGCTCTGGAGGTACCATCTGTGTGTTGCATTGAGTGTGATTGTCCGCAGAAGTGCTGGGTAGCGGGGCCTGGTGTGTGTCAGGGCGTGTGTTGTCTTCAGCAGAAGTGCTGGGATTAGGAGACTGACTTCCAGGGATAGGAATGTAATCTGGAAGTCTGTCATTGGCTTGGCGAGCAATGTGAGGCTTAATTCGATTGGCGTGGATAAGGGCCTTGTGTGTTTTGTTTGTTTGGACATGTTGCAGTTTGAAGGTGTGATTTGGACCTAACTCGAGAATTGAGTAAGGACCTAACCATTTAACTGACAGCTTTGGGGACCTACCGGGAAGTACATGGGAATTCTTCATCAGGACCAAATCACCTATAGAGAATTGGGGCTCTCTAGCTTTGAGGTCAGTGCGCTCTTTGTTGATGTCTTGGGACAATTTCATATTGTCTTTGGCAATGGTCTTGGCTACTCTGAGATTGTCCAGTAGGGTCTTAAGATGACGCTCTGCAGTTTTGCCTAGAGATGGCTTTGGAAGAAGGGCAACATCAATAGGGAGATGCATCTCTCTGCCAAAGAGCAGATAGAAGGGAGTGTAGCCAGTGGAGGCACATGGTGCGCTGCGCATTGACATCATTATGCAGGGAATTAGGTCTGCCCAGTTGGATTGGTCAGAGTCACAGTAGGCTCTGAGTGCCTGTTCAATGGTCCTATTGCGTCTTTCACACATGCCATTGGTTTCAGGATGATATGACGATGTCAGATGATGCTTAATGTCCAACAATTCACAAAGGGCATTGACAAGTTTAGAAGTGAACTGCCGACCTCTATCCGACAGGAGAGTTTTGGGAGCACCAAAGCGAGTGATGATCTGATTGAAAAGAATGTTGGCTACCTCAGTGGCATCTTGAGTTTTCATAGCAAAGCCCTCTGTCCAGCGGGAAAAGGAATCCACTACCAGCAGGACATATTTAAAACCATCTTTGGTTTCAGGGAGGGGACCAAGGATATCTATATGAATGCGTGAAAAGGTATCCTCGATGGGCATTGGGACCATAGGAGCATGTCTGCCATGAGTCATGGGTTTAATTTTCTGACATGTCTCACACGACCTAATGTAGTTGTCTATGTCCTGATACATGCCAGGCCAATGGTACTTAGACAGGAGCGTTTGAAAAGTAGAATCCCTACCCAGATGACAACCTCCTACTTTTGAGTCATGATAGGCAAATAGGAGATCTTTGCGCTTGATAAGTGGGACAACAAGCTGTGTAATTTGAGGAGGTCTATGGGCCTTGGCACCTCTATGTTTAGCTTGATAAACATGATAGAGAATACCATCTCTAACAACATATTCCTGTGAGCGACCTACAAGACCTTTGACTTGAACATCTTTGTAAGTTGCAGGGATTTCACCTTTGGAGATGTAGTCAATAATGGGTCTAAGGTCAGGGGAATTGTATTGCTGTGTCACCAACTGATCATCGTCTGTGTCAATCGCTGCAACGATGAGAGATGGACCAGATGAGGGTGGTTTGTTAGCATAATACAAATCAACCGCTAGTGGCTCAGGAGTGTCTGGATCCTGGTGAAGAGATGATTGGGAGGTTGATGGTGGGTCAGTAAGAGGGACAGAGGTTGATGTGGAAGGAGGGGGTGAGGTTGGGGATGCATCAGGGGTTGAAGAGGGTGCAAAGGGAGATGCAGATACGACTAAAACTGCTTTGTCTGTGGTGTTGGATTTGCATGAGACAACATGGGCATACTTTCTGTTGGAGGGCAATGGAGGAGACGGAATGTCATCTGTGACAGGTGCAATCTTAGGCTCAGGGTATTTCGTGCGAGATAAAGCATCTGCATTTGTGTTTGATTTGCCTGGCCTGTGGACTATATCAAAATCATAGTCTTGTAACATGATTGACCATCGACCAAGGCGACCTGTTTCTTCCTTAATGTTTTTTGAGCCAAGTAAGTGCCTTGTGATCAGTGTAAATTTTGAATTTGTTTCCAGCCAAATAGACTCTAAACGTTTTTATGCCCTCCACGACTGCCAAACATTCTAGCTGTGTCACCCCCCAATTCTTTTCTGATGAATGAAGTGATCGTCCCCCATAACAGATGACATGTTCCTTACCATCTGGACCAAGTTGCCCTAAAATATATCCAAGAGATGTGGTGGAAGCATCTGTCGTGAGAATGAAGGGTTTTGTAGGATCAGGATAGACAAGGATAGGAGATGTTGTCAGTTTTTTGCTTTAAGAGAGAGAAAGCCTGTTGACATTTGTCTGTCCAAGAAAATTTGACATCCTTCTTGAGAGTGTCATAGAGAGGTGCTGCTATACCCGAGAAATTGGGAACAAATTTCCCATAGTAACTGCACAGACCGAGAAAATGACGAACATCATGAACGTTTTTGGGTGGGGGGAATTTGTGTGACTGCTTCTATTTTAGATTGATCAACTTCAATACCATTTTTGGTGAAAATGTGCCCTAGATATTGGACTTGTTTTGCTGCAAATTTACATTTGCTTGGTTTCAAAGTCAAGCCAGCTTGCTTTATCTTTTGAAAAACACATTTTAGATGATTCAAATGTTCTGAAAATGTTTTGGAGTAGACAATGATGTCATCCACATAAATAAGAATGTATTTCCAGTTCATGTCTTTTAGCGCTTCTGAAATAGTACTTTGAAATGCCATGGGAGCATTTTTAAGGCCAAATGGGAGACGGTTCCATTCAAAAACACCATCAGGAGTAATGAAAGCAGATTTGTGTTTTGTTTCTGGATGAAGAGGAATTTGCCAAAACCCACTAGCACAATCCAAAACACTGAAAAGTTTTGCATGACTTTCTCCAACTGCATCAATGACATCTTCAAACCTTATTAGAGGAAAGAAAATTGGCTTGGTGAGAGCATTCAGGCGTCTGTAATCCACGGCAAAACGATAAGTGTTGTCACGTTTCTTTACCATAACGACTGGGGAGTGCCACTCTGATGAACTAGGTTGAATAATTTTGGCATCTAACATTTCTTTAATTTGTCTTGAGCACTCTTTCCTAACTTCAGCACTTTGGCGATAAAAAGGGGCGCCTAACGGGTCTAGCATCACCTGTCTCTATCCTATGTTTGTGAAGATGTGTTTGACCAAGTTCAGACCAATTGTGTGCAAAAGCAGAGTGTTGAGAGTTGAGGAAAGAAAGAAGTTCTTGTTTTTGGACAGGAGACAGGTCTGAATCAGAAAGGTCAAAGGATAGTTCTGAAGTAGTAGTGTGTTGGCGATGAGATGGGGACTGGGGTGGAGTTGTCAAGACATGGGGTGTAGATCCTGAATTAGTCTGACCTCGTGTAACTGCTGCAGTACTGGCCTGAGAATGAGGACGACATGTGTCATGGGATGGTTGGGGTTCAGGTTCAGGTGAATCTGGCAATACTGAGACACTGGATGGGTGCACTTCACATGCTACAGCTATCACTCTTTTAGTATTTAAGTGAACAGGGGATTTGGTAGGGTTGAGGAAGCGCATATAAACACCGTTTTTGGACTTAGTCACTAAACATCTGCCGCCCTGCAGTTTAACTCTTGCAAGCTCAGGAACAGGTTCTAATAGAAGAGTAGAGCCCAGCCTATGACGAGAGATTTGGACTGGAATGTCTACCTGACAAGACGGTGGAATTGTGATGGGTTTCCTTGCTCTAGCATAGCCTGCACTAGATTCAACTAGGGGAACAGTGATCAGACCTTCCTGGATAATCAGGCACCTGTCGGCTAGGGAGATAGCCGCCTTGTATTCAGAAAGGAAGTCCATGCCTAATATCAGAGAATGGTGTAGAGATTGAAAAACATAGAAAGATTGGGAGAGGAGGAGATGACCTATGCAGATATCAAGAGAAATGGAACCTAGCACCTTATGAACTTCGCCACCTACACCAATGATTTCATGAAGGTCAGAGTCTTGTAAGTGCCGTAAATGGTATCCTACTTTTTGAAGGTAGCTCATGCTGACACAGGACACAGAGGCACCTGTATCAACTAGAGCTGTTGTCTTCACTTGCTTCACCTTAACTAGAACAGTGTTCTTAACCAAGGGAGCCACAAGTGAGACCATAGGTTTCTCATGCCTGATCCCAGCCATCTGAGAATCAGGCGCGAGTCCCTATTGCCTTGGGTATTCATTCTGAGAATGATATGCCCTTATGCACACGCTAGAATGGTGACCTACTTTATGGCAAAAAGTACACTGGGTATTAAAATGTGGGCAATATAATCTGTCTGAACAGTACATACCACATCCGATACATCTTTGCTGCAGGAACGGGGGTACTGGGTACTGTGGGCGCCACTGATGACTGCTGGTTTGTCTTTGAGGGCCCTGATTCCTTGGATGTGGTCGACCTTGAGGGAGCGGGTACTGTTGAGGAGGTGGTGGTTGTCTCTGGATCTGGGCGCCATGATGCTGCTGCCGTCTGGGTTGGTAGCGTTGGGGACGATGTGGCTGGAACTGTTGCTGCTGCTGTTGCTGTTGTTGTTCTGAAGACGGTCTGGTGGCTTCTGTAGCAGCAGCCTGAACTGGTGGGGCCTCAGTCTTTGTGATTAGGGTGGCCACAAGTTCTGATAGGTGGTCTACCTTCATGGCCATGTTGATGTCCTGAGAACTCACACTAGTCTGGGATCTCTCAGCCAGTTCAGCATGGTGACGGACATCTTCCAGGGTGGCAGGCTCTTTGTTAATAACCCACTGGCGGATGCTAGGCCTAAGCCCATTGACGGCTACTGCCACAGTCACAGACACTGGCAGTGCTAAATTATGTATGTAGCTTTCTGTAATCTTGTCAAATAATCTGCACTGGTTTCTCCCGTAGACTGCGACATTTGTAACACATTCACGTCAAAGGTTCTTGGTCTGTGAAACCTTGACGTGAAGGCTTCCTCCAGATGGGTCATACTTTGTTTGGTATCGTTGGGAAGATCTTGGTGCCATACCTTGGCTGTCCCCTCTAAATAGAATGGGAACAGCAGGCACTGTCGTTCCTCATTGTAACCAAACAGCTTGACAAAATTTGTGAAATCTTGCCACCAGGATGTAGCTTCCTCCTGTCCGTTGAAGGGCCTCAGTTTGATGTGGGGAGTCGCCATTGTAAAGGATGGGGATGCAGGTGTTGATGAAGGCGTTGATGATGTTGTAGAGGATGATGTGTGTGTTGTCGATGACGAAGCCGCGGTTGATGCTGTTGATGCTGTTCTTGATGTTGTTGATGCTGTTGACGGTGTTGAAGACGTAACTGTGGGAATGGTCTGGGAGTGGGAAGCTGGGAGGGGTGAAACCTGCGTCTTGAGTGAACTGGTTAGTTGTAACCTTGGCTCAGGCCGTCGAAGCTTCTCTTTGTAATTCGTAGGCGTGGCACCGGTCATCTAGGATTTTCCTCCACCAGTTGAAACAGTTTGCTTGCGCTACTGTTTTAGACCTAGAATTGCTACGGGGAATTAGCTCCGGGATCTCCACGCCTTCAAATACAAACAGAGAGGATCTCACGCAAAACAGGAATCTTTATTACAGTTAAACACATGAAGGCAAAGGACACATATTCAGTTAACTGGTAATTCCGAATTGTTGGTCAAGAGAAATAATTATAATATTGTTGCAGAAAACTATTCAATTGAAATAACAAACAATATGACAAGTGACACGACCGAGACAAAAATACAGATGCTTAGAACATGTTGTAAACGTTATACACGTTTGGCATTTATTGACTTTAAGCATCCACAACTCCAATAACTAAAGCGAACGTTTTATTTTAACTGAAATAGTTTAGGCGTCTGATATACTAATGGTGACCTGTGAAAGTAATGATTTCTTATCTGGGATTCTCGATTATTCATAAATTTCATTATATATTTAAACTACAAGGAATTAACATATAGCGACTAAATGGAAAATTCGAGCAGCACTTTAGAATAAGTAAGATGATTTTATTGTTCAAGCAGGGTAACACGGTTAGAAGGACTTTAAGCAAATTTAACCAAATGAAAAAGTAACAAGTAAAGATTCTTTACCTTCAAATACAAACAGAGAGGATCTCAGGCAAAACAGGAATAACTCAGTGGCGAGCTACACCTGCATTTATACCCGAATCTCCTGTTTGAATTTGAAAGCAAGTTGAAGAGCGCATGTCACACTGGTCATATTACGCAAGTTTGACAAAGCTGGGTAGCCAAAGCTGGGGGAAAGTTAGCTAATTGGAAACATAATTGCTGCTGGAATGTTACCGTTCGGGTCGGTGGCCTTTGTTAATTGTTTTGGGTTGGCCAGCCATGTCTAGCTCGACAATGAACCTACTCTGTTAATCACTGTGTGTTTGAGACACAAAGAGCAGTGGCCTAACACTTACTATAATCTCCCACAGTCGCTAGTCCGGTTCTGGCAGCTTGAATGGTATAGATTTGAGAATAGCTGTGTAGGTTCTGAAAACTATATGCCTTAACTGGACTGAGAATGTAAAATTATAAGATTGTAAAACAAATCAAAAATAGATAAAAACTTGAAGACAAGTAAGGTAAATTTTGGCACTGTTATACTATGGCAGCCGGTAATATATTTTTTCCCAGTTGTCACTCTCCTGGGAGGGCTGACACCGAAACGTGTTAACGTGTCATTGACCAATGAAATTAAAGTATTTTACATAAAGGTAAGATAAAGAATGTTATGGGGATACAAGGGACACTGGGACTACACACGGAGCTCTATTTAACTGTTGCATTGCAGATGACGTTGCTTGCCAAACTCCTGTACGACATGTTGGAAATGAAGGGGAACAATCAACCTCAGGGGCTACACACAAATTGGCTCAACAAGAGCCAGGTAAGCTGGAAGCTTGTCATGTAAATACGTGTATTTGCTGCAGTAGATAGAGTGCTGATCTGTTGGGTGCATAAGGTGGGGACAGTGAGAGAGTGGATTAGATGATAGTAGGTGTGGAAGTTAACCCGGGGGCTAAAAGTTATGATGCCGACCTTCGAAAGATGTACAGTACTTCTATGATGAATTGACTTTCGTTTTCCTTTAACCAAGCACACGGCTTTTATGTTAATAATGGCCGCATGTCCATGTGGTCATAGTAGTTCTTATATGTTATACTTTCTGACTGTAACCATCATTAATACAGTGCAGATAACAGTGAAGTCTTGAATATTATTTCATTGCTCAGTTTGACATTGCCCCGACTGATGATTGTCTAAGTTGAGCACATTGACAGTAATTGGTGATTACCCAGCTACATAAGAATACTCTATAAGATATTGAAAAGACAGAGTGAGTGAGTTTAGTTTTACGCCGCACTCATCAATATTCCAGCTATACAAGACAGATAGATATTATACTGAATGGGAAGGTACATTAGTTTCTTATATGTCCGTGGAAAATGTTAAAAACTCTACAATTTAACGATTAAAAAGAACAGTGTATACAAGTATTCTACTGGTATGTTGCGAATGGAACAACTAAAACATATATATTACTAACAACAAATTAGGGAAATAAATGTTAATTTTGTGAGTGTCTAACAGTATTTGGTATGTCCACCATATTTAAGCAAAATATACACCACACCTGGATTCCGGCTGTAGATCTACGTGAAGCCGGTCCAACAGCTGTATCTCTGCCGTACTGTCAATGTCTGTGTCCTTTTTCGTCGAACTGTCCATGATGGTGTCTGGTATTGTCATCTTGCAATTCAAAATTTATGAAGATTTTCATAACGAAAGGGATAGTTTCCATTCCCAATAACTAAATCAGTTCGGGTGTCATGTGTGATACCATCATGGCCAAGAATGGCCAATGACAAAACTTTGATGTGAAAACAACGTGTAACGTCATTGCTGCATCGAATCGGTTGTAACGGCCAATATAAAATATACCTTACTGTTATTGGTCGGATTTATTCATTGATAACGGGTGAAAATGTGAACATAAAACATAGCGCAGTTACAAACTGGTCCAGGTGTCTTGTGATCAGGGCTTCCACATCCTAATCTCTTTGTAACCCCAACCATTTGAAAGTACTTGTCTCGCTGTCGAGAAATTGCAGTTTTTGATTTGCCAAACATTCGAGTAACTTAGTCTTTCCTCTCTCTCTATTTTTCTCAATGAGACATTGTACTGTTTGGTGATTGCTTATACCAACTGCATTAATTATTACTCTTTTTTTTACGTCTGTTTGAACGTGCACCGCGTGCAATTTATTCAGGTCATACATCTTTATAATATTACTGTTTTATTTCTCAGGTAACATCGTCAGTATTGAGGAAGAAAATATCCGACTGAGGAAGGTGACTTTGGATCAGTTTTATATTGTTGAGGTTTAATGTACTTAAATACAGTTTAATGTTGTTTAGGGCACCGCCTCCGTGGTGTAGTGGTTAGAGCGTCCGCCCGAAGAGCGGAAGGTCGCGGGTTCGTACCCCGACCGCGTCATACCAAAAGACGTTAAAATATGGTACTTGTTGGTCCCTGCCTGGCGCTCGGCACTAATGGGTTCATCGAGGACTGGTCGGCTCGGAGTCAGTATAATTTGTCTGAGTGGGGTATTCATGCTTCACTGCCTCATGGTATCTCAGTGGACTAGTACTATAAAACCAGCTTCAGTCTGGGCTAGTACAAGCAGCCGCACATAAACATACACACGCATGCACGTCGTCATATGAGCGAAATATTCTCAAGTACGACGTTAAACCCCATTTCACCTCACCTCATGTTGCTTTGGGTTTATGCCAATCACATAGCGACGTTCATGGATGGTGTGTTAGGCTGCTTGTACAGCATCCTCTAACGTATTGCGGCCTAGAAACCAGACCACCAAGGTTACATTCTCCAGCCAGATGCTGTATCCACCAAACCACGGTATTGTTAAACAACATAGGACGTAAATACATGTAAATCTGATGATATTATCAAGAAAACAATATATTGATCGAACAATCTTCATTTGATCCATCTTTCGTCTTGCAAGATACCACACGGTAAAGAAATTTATGTATAAAACTGTCTGACGAAAGAATAATAACGGGCATCATTCTGGTTCTACTGAGATTTGTGATACTTCAGCATGTTTTCTGGTGAGATTTCTCTCCATTGACATACCTAAGCTGAATCTATAAGATGGTTTCTGAGACGATTTGTGTGACAGGGATTCTACCTGGTATTGTAGCGGTTCATGTGTTCGGTTCGGTCCACTTTTACAAAAATTACTATATCCATACTACTGGTGCCACGACCCAAAACTTATCGAGTGCCAAAATCATGAGTGTCATCGTTCACAAGGGTATCAGCAGGTATTCAACAAGGAACGCCTGCAAATTAGCCATCCTATATCCCATGCAATGCATCCTTCTTCTGTTCATGTTTAACACCACCACCACGTCTAACGCACAGAAATCAATCAAATAGTGATCAACGCCGGGGGGAGACTTCTGTCGAAACACACCAAGAGAGAAGCAACGAGCTTGCAGAACTTTACCACGATGTCATATTCTGCGAGATTTCGCTCCTAAACAATCAATGCGCTCTGAGAACGACAAAAGAAAATCCCACCTTTGAAAATTGCAAAATTCAGAATGTCAGTGTCATTGTTAGAAAATTATTTTCTCCGTCACATGAGTTTCAGATTCCTTTGCTCTAACAGCCGTTAAGGTGCAAACGTTTTGTGAGACGTAATTTCTTTTGCATTTTAATATTGCAAACAATTATGGTTAATGCTTCATCTTAATACTGGCTTCGTTTCCTCGAGTTAGTATTGTGAGAGAATTACATCAATATCTTGAATTGGAACTGCCTGACATTCCTTGCACAGCAGTGTTTTCACAGACAGCTCAGTGACCACGGTAAGATAAAACAAGCGGTAGCCATGACGGTGAGATGAATTCTTTGAAGCCTCATCACTTGGGGTAAACGGTCTGATGTACCCTCTGTGTTGCATGTACACCTCCCCTAACTGATCAAACTACACGGCAACACAGAGGGTACATCAGATCGTTCATCACTCGTGATACTGCTACAACGTATATATTAACTCCTTATTTTGCTCTGTTTGCACCCACAGAGAATAGAGGACCTGGAGTCCTTCTTTGACCGGATGTCTGTTTCTACTGCGGACAGTGGCTTTGGCACTGCGAGAAGCAGTCTGGCATCCTCGAATAAGAGTTCAATTATCCGGAGAAGTCAGAAGCCTGACGTAAACCGTGGTGACAAGATGAAAGGTGCTTTGAAGAGATTATTCACATTTGGACGACCAAAAGAGACAGGTAAGCGGTTGTGGGAGGTTAGGTAACCGTGACATTTAACACTGTTCAGGATAAACAACGGCTGACAAACCAGGGAAATAGGTTCCACACGTTGTAGCCAGCTGGGATACCAGAGGTGTGAGCATGACGGAAGCTAATGAACGCAAGCTATTATGTGCATTACATAGATAAATTGTCAGGTTTTTCGTGTTGAATTTCAGATTCAAACACAAATTGGTATATTATTGCTTCTTTCGAGAAGTTAGGTTTAATACGCACAAGAATGCGAATCAGCTGTTTGAGGTCACAAATCCCGTCTACGGGTTGTTTTTATTTCGTGGTGTTTTTTAAAAAATTACAGTATGGGTAATAAAATAGAATAACCAACGAGGTACGAGTAATTACGAGAAATATGTCATCGTTAAAATAATGTTAACAGTGCCGAGTCTTGGCGAGGCACTGTGAACATTATTTCAATTTGGGCATATTTGCGTAATCACTCGTACCGAGTATATATACGGAAATTTTCAGTGTCCTAAGAAAGAGAATATCTTCTATTATATTTCTTCAAGAAACACATAGTACTTTAGAAAAAGAACGCCCATGGGCAGCTGAATGGGGTTGTAGACGTTTTTTTCTCACATAGAACAAGTAACAGTGCGGGAACATTAATTTTGATTAAAGATAATTTTGAATATGAAGTTCATAAAACAATTTCAGATGACAATGGTCGCTTTGTTATACTTGACATTACAATAGAAAATATTCGATTTTCGGTAACAAATATATACGGACCAAATAAAGATTCGCCAGATTTCTTCCAAGACCTCTTCTCGGAATGAGAACAATTACCCGGGGCTATTAGTTCAAGATTATTACTTAGATACCTATAATATAAAGCACAGAAATAATACTGGGGCATTTGAGAAAATGAAATAAAAACTAAGCTAGGGTTGGTTGATCCGTGGAGAATGTTTAACCCAGATAAACAACAATATACATGGCGACAAGGCAACGACATTAAACAAAGCAGACTGGACTGTTTCCTTGTCTCTGAAGAAGTAATGTCTCTTGTCAAGCGCGCGTCCATAGGTGTGAGTTACAGGTCCGATCATTCTATCGTTTCACTTGAGCTTGCGCCGAGTCCCCCACAGCGTGGACCGGGTTACTGGAAATTCAATTCGTCCCTACTCTATGTCCGTGACTATGTCCATCTTGTTAAATAAACTATATGCGACACTGTATTTGAATACTATGTCTCTGGAGACTTGGAGAACTTAGAAAGTATCGAATTATCAGTGAATGATCAATTATTATTTGATATACTTAAAATGAATATAAGAAATAAAACTGTAGGGTAACGCTGAAACGTGAAATATATGAAATGGAAGCCAGATTTTCAATATTAAGTAGTGATGAAAATATAGATTTATGCTTCAAAAAGGAAAAACTTGAAAATATTAGAACTGCTAAAGTAAAAGGGCTTATATTTCGGAGTAAAGCAAGATGGTACGAAGAGGGAGAAAAACAATACGGAATACTTTATGAATTTGGAAAAGAGAAATTATATCAATAAAAACTATGGGTGAACTTTTAACGCCAAGCGCAGTTTTGACAAAAAAGGAAGACATATTAAGAGAATCTTCCAATTTTTATAATAATTTGTACACAAGTAAACGTGCAAGTTACTGGCAAAATGACATAGATATCGATGTTTAACTTACAAATGATAATCGCGAACTTTGTGAAACTGAACTCACGCTTGATGAATGTGCACGAGCATTTAAAAATATGAAGAACAGAAAAAGTACTGGTTCCGACGGTTTTAGTGCACAATTTCATAAAGTTTTCTGGAAAGACATAGGTGTAATTCTCTGGCGATCTATTACATATTCATACAAAACGGGAATTTTGTCGGATTTCCAAAGGCAAGGTATAATCACATGTATACCTAGAGACTCACGCGATAGACGCTACTTGAAAAACTAGCGACCAATTGCGTTGGCTCGTCACGTCGAAGACCCGGGTTCGATTCCCAACATGGACACAATATGTGAAGCCCATTTCTGGTGTCCCCCGTCGTGATATTGCTGGAATATTGCTAAAAGCGACGTAAAACCCAACTCACTTACCGACTCACTCACTTTTAAACGTAGACTATAAAGTTACATCCGCTGCAATTGCTTCACGTCTTAAAGAAGTCTTTCCTGGTATAATAAGTGAAACGCAAACAGGTTTGTTTATTTTAAAAAAAAGATTTATTGAGGAAACTACTAGCATACTGTATGATCTAATGCATTATTGTGAAGAACGTGAAGTCCCAGGTCTTTTAGTTGCAACTGATTTTGAGAAAGCATTCGATACAGTTGAGTGGGACTTCATTGACAAAACGTTGGAAGCCTTTAACTTTGGCCCTGTACTTAGAAATTGGGATAAACTTTTTCAAAGGAAAAGCTGTAGATCTATTTTCAATTCTGGTACATTATCAGAGTGTTTCACTTTAGGGCGTGGTTTTCGTCAAGGTGACCCGGTCGCCCCGTACATCTTTGTTGCTTGTGTCGAATTACTAGCTATTGCAATTAGAACAACAAATAAGAACATAAAAGGAGTTAAGAGAAAGGGTATGGAATACCTCATTTTCATGATACCAATTTTACACTTGAAGGATCTATGTTATTAAAGAAATTGGTACCGTGTCTGGTTTAAACCTCATCTGTGATAAAACCATAATGATATGGTTTGGTTGCAAGCGAAATTCTAATGATCAACTCTGTCCGCATATACCTCTTCGTTGGTCAAAAGAACCATTCAAAATTCTGGGTATTACTTTTTCAACTAACTATCGTGAAATGATTTCACTAAACTTTGAACAATTTTCAAAAATCAGAAAAATATTATTTTCATGGTCAAACAGATCTTTAAGTTTGAGAGGCAGAATTATGATTATCAAATAGCAGATTATCCCCCTTTTTACATACCTGTTCATGGCGCTTCCCAACCCATCTAAGCCCTCCTTTAAACGTTTGAATACTATCCTTTTCAGGTTTATCTGGGGCGGCAAACGTGATAAAATTAAAAGAAATATGTTAATAAATGACTATGAAATGGGGGGGTTTGAAAATGATAGATATCATATCTTTTTGCAAGTATATGAAGATTAAATGCATCAGAAGACTATTCAAAGCAAAGGGATTATGGCAGCACTTAGTATTTCAAACACTGTCGCCTTTGGGGGACATTGATCTTTTTAACTTTCAAGGAGAAAAACTTTTGTCCTACTCCAAAAATATTAAAAATTAGTTTGGGAAAGTTATTGTTACACTTGTATCAAAGAAACACATGCTGAATGCATTAGTAACTTTATATGTCTACCAATTATGAATTTATATATGATATAGGTCTGTTTGTTTCATGTTTTAAAACAGGAATGAAAAATATGCGAGATATTATAGAAGACGCTGGTGAAGTGAAACCTTTTCTAATAATAGAGAAGAATTTAATCTTCATGAAACATATCTCCTATATTTCATATTCTTGAAGTACATACTTAAACAATTTTTTTTTTTTTTTTTTTTTTTTTATTCATTCAAAATCAGTAGATACATGTATACAAAGCACATGATGCAACAACACTTGTACACCGTAGGAGAGAAATTCATATGGGTTGGCATTACACATATTGGGATCTTCATTAGGCTGGGAATGTGTGCAGTAGAGATGACCATTTTCTGTCAAATTGTAATATGTTTTGATTCTTACTTGCAATAAACTTTTCTGTCTTGAAGATATCACTCAATATTTTTACAAATGTATCCAGTGATAATTTATTTTTTTTAATACTTGATATATGGATATATTTTTTACTGGCAAGAAGTATGTGATTCATATCCGCCAATTAAGACTGTATATTTTGTCAGGGTAAAAGTTTCTGATGATTTATCTTCAATATATTCTTTCACTTTCAGCCAGAACGTTTTCACACATTCACATTCCCAATAAACATGTATCAAATTTTCTGACATTAAATTACAAAATGAGCAAAGTTCATCATCTACTAATTTCATTCTCAATAATTCTTTCTTTGTGTAGACAATATTGTGGATAAATTTAAACTGGAAGTCAATCAATTTGGTATCTTTTGTACATCTTCTATATTTTCTAAAAATATCTTGCCATGGAATTGCAATATCAAAGATATTTTGCCATTTTTCACATGTTGATGGTAGGTTTTCAGTAGTTATAAGTTTGTCATAGAAATATCTGGATCTCTTTGGTGCTGAAAGTAAATCTATCAGTGATGTGTTAAGATAGTGATTATGAACAATCAATAAATTCTTTCTTATAGTTTCTTTCCATTTTGGGGGTATATTTGAAAGAACCTGGTAATAGTCAAGAATTGTGCCTTTAATTTTGTAAGTTTTCTTAAGTTCACTAAATGGCAAAATACCTTGATCATTACACAAGTCTCTTATAGAGTGAATACCTTTGAGATGCCAATGTCTTATAATGAAATTACTATTTTGGAATTGGTGATTGAACCAAAGGGGTTGAGATAAGATTTGATCAATATCTGTAAAATCAGTTTGATGTGTTTTATAAAATATTCCCCATGCAGCCAATACATCTTTCCAATAGGGATTCATAATACTGACATAGTTTTCAATATTGGCTCCAAGCAGAAATATATCTTTAAATGGAAAGATACTAGGGATAGAACTGCTATTATTTTGAAGATATTTATGTAAAACTGACAGTTTTAAAGAGTTTATGAATACCTGTACATTAACCATTCTGAGTCCCCCCTCTTCATATTTTCTAATAAGTGTCGTTCGCTTTATCTTATCCCGCTTATCATTCCAGATGAATTTATAAAATATATTGTTTAATTTGTCAATGAATTCCTTTGGAGGATTTGGGAGTGAGGTGAATATATGCACCAATGATGAAAGTGCTAAAGTTTTAATAACAGTTATTTTCCCTATTAATGTCAACTTTCTTTTCCTCCAATTCCCTAGAGTTCTATTAATAATTTCTAGTCTTTTTCTTGTATTAATTACCCAAAGGTTATTTAAATTAGGATTAAGTCTTATTCCTAGAATATCAAAGTCCTCATTATGCCAATCAAGCTTAAGATCCTGGCATAAAATCATGCTACTACCTGCCATTGAGCCTATCCACACTGCTTTCGTTTTATCTATATTTATTCTTAAACCAGACATTTTGTAGAAATTATTGAGAGTGTCAGTTGCTGCCCTTAAACTTTCTTCACGCCCATCGAGAAATAATTCAGTATCATCTGCATACTGTCCAATTTTATGTTCAGTGTTATTCAATGTAATTCCTTTTATTGCAGCGTTGTTACGGATCATTATTCCTAATATTTCAGCCACTAAGATGAATATATAGGGAGAGACTGGGTCCCCTTGTCTACAGCCCCTTTCATTGTAAAAAAATTGTGATAAATGACCATTCTGTATAACACATGATGTAGCATTATTGATTAATATTTTGATCCATTTTTCCATATTGGGTCCAAAGCCAAACTTTCCAATTGTTAAAATTATAAATTCTTTAGAGACAGTGTCAAAAGCTTTTTCAAAGTCAATAAGCAACAAGAGTCCCTTTTTATCTTGTACTTTTGCTTCAAACATAATGTCGTATAATAATCTAATGTTCTCGCTAATACACCTTCCAGGTATAAAACCTGTCTGAGTTTCATGAATAAGAGTATTCAATGTTGTTTTAATTCTATTGGCTATACATGTGCTGAGTATTTTATACAAAGAATTCAGTAGGGAAATTGGGCGCCAGTTTTTTAACAACTGTCTATTTTTGTTAGCTTTTGGGATACATGTGATGACGCCTCTGTTTATTGTTGGACTTAACATATTTTGCCTGAATGCTTCTGATATATATCTACAAACCCAAATATGAAGATCTTTCCAGAAAAATTTAAAAAATTCTATTGGGAAACCATCTACTCCTGGGCTTTTGTTATTTTTCATTGATTTAACGGCTCGTGTTATTTCATCTATAGTAATATCACCCTCAAGATTTTCAGCCTGTACAGTGTGCAGTTTGGGTGTAATAATATCATCAAATATATTAATATATTTATCTGTTATTTTACCACCTGATGAGTATAGATTTTCATAAAATTGCCTTTGTTCATTTAATATAGCCTTACCATCTGATATTACTTCCCCTTTGTCATTGAGAACACTATTCATAAGTTTACTGGTATAATTTCTATTTTCGAGATGACAGAAATAGTTGGTTGGTTTTTCTCCTTCCTCATACCACTGAATTCTATTTCTTATCTGTATACCTCTTATTTCATCTTCTTTTAATTTTTCAAACTCTAATTTACATTTGGATAGTTCAGAAAGTTTAGTTTCACATATGGTTTGGAAATTTTCTCTGATTTCTTCTTCCATTGCCAAAATTTTTCCTTCTAAATTTTTGCTTTTTTCAGTTTTGATTTTTTTTAAGTAGGAAGAGAATGATATTGTTTTCCCCCTCACTTTCATTAAAAATGTTTCTAAGAACAAAGTGTCGCTTATATTAAGTTGTAGTTTAGAATCTTCAATATCACCTAGTTCATCCTCAGTGCAGTTACAGTATTCTAATTTTGTTTCAAAAAGCATATCCTTGACTGTGTTTACATATTCTTGGTTATAAAGTAATGATGTATTTAGTTTCCAGTATCCTCCACCTCGTTCCTTATTAAGTTGATTAGAAAAAGACATGGTAATTGCTGAATGATCAGATTTATATCCTGGAAGTATTGAACAATACCTTAATCTTGCCAAGGCAACACCTCATTATGATGAATTAGCCGATGCTGACTGTACTATTCTTAAACAAATATGTAACTCAGCTGACTGTAAATTTGTCTATTCACAATTTTGTGAAAATCCCATAATATCATTGGATAATCTAAACTCAAGTGGGAATCTAAGCTCGATAGTGTTTTAGCCGATACTGATCTTGCTGACTGTTTTACAATGATTAAAGCTGTTGCCATAGAGAATAAAGCTAGGAATTTTCAATTTAATATAATGCACAGAATAATCTTTACGAAGTCATTTCTTTGTAAAATAGGTATTAATCAGGATGACAATTGTACTTTATGTGGCAGAGAAATAGAAACACTAGAGCACTTACTCTTTTTATGTGAGAATACTAAGCATCTTATCTCTCAGTTTGCAAACTGGTACAATTTGAAGACTGGCACTCGCCTCAATATTGATAGTACAAAGTTTTTACTGGGGGACCCTGAGGCAAGTGTATTAGTGAACCACATTTTTATCATTATCAAGCAATATATCAATAAAACAAGATATACCTCAGCGGAATTAAATTTCGACCCAAAAATGGTTATGTCTCTTTCAAATTGATTAAACCAACAAATTGACATAGTGAGTATTTTCTAGGCCGGATGCTGCACTCTTTCATCTTTCCTTTTCTCTCTTTCCTTGTCTCTCCTTTCTTTCCCATATTTATAAAAAGAATTCACATGTTGTGCATGTAACGCGAGATAAAAAGTAGACAAGAAACCAGCAGAATACGGGCTTCCACCATTCATTTTTAAACAAATGTTTGAATCTGGAAAATGTATACTTTAACTCGTAAAATGTGTTTTCTGTAAATTTGACAATAAAAAATTAGACTGTTGCTATGGCATCAACGGTGAGCTGATCTGGGCAAGGGTGACAGAGATACTGGAACCATACTTGGAACTTTCATCTCTTGCTTTACAGAGGGCGTTGCCCGTCCTACTTCAGTACTGCGTGTGGGACATGACATGGAGTACCGGACCAAGGAGGCTGCACATGCTTTGGCTACACAAGGTATAGCTGGAAAACATCAAATGAAATACATTGAAATATATATGTATGATGTTGTTTTTAAACACATCGTGTTTGAACCAGACAATCCAGTGATTGTCACCATGTGATACGACGACAGAGCATGTGCTTATGAATCACTATCAAATAGTGAGCGTACCCTGCCCCACCGGTGGCACACGTCATAAACATATGTGGTCATATGTTCACCTGAAATAATTTGGGAACACAAAATATAGTCAAAATAGGGACTTGAATCGGACATCATTATTGTCACTGATGCATCGAATTTGGAAAATTCCACCACATGTCTACCAGAACACGTCTTGAAAGCTTTACTGAGACCTTGAATGCTGTAACCTTGATTAAAGCTGATATAGATAGAATTACCATGAAACCGCCCTCAAGTTATCAGAAATGAGCGAGCCGCTGCAAATAAATATAGGTTATCACGTGAGTGTGTTTTTCGGATGGTTAATATCCTGCATTAGGAATAAACATTGTATTTAGCGAGCCTTGGCTTACTGATTATTCCTAATGCAGGAAATTAACCATCCCAAAACACACGAGCGTGATCACCTATTTTATCATGCATTGTCATTTTTGCTATAAAAAAATAAAAAAATGCGATTTCAAATGCCACAAATCATGAAACTAAACTTCATGGAATGTCTATGACGTCAAAAATATGTACGTTACGTCACAAGCCCGGTGACATAATTTTCTCCTGATAACACAGCTGAGTGCGTTAAGTCATCTAGTTCTCAGTAAGCTTTTATGCTAAAGTACGTATTGTTGTCTACAAGTCTTGAGAAATAACAACAAACTCGCTTGGAACTTCATAACCTTCAATTAACCTTTTGAACAACAAAATACGCTTTAATGTTCCCGTGGCATTGTGCACCAACATTCCTATGCCGTTCTCTCGCTAACACTGACAGTCGGTTGGGGAACTGATGTTGGTATCTTCGTAAGCCAATGAATTTCTATTTTCGCTTTGTATTCTACTCCATCTATCATAACCAGGCATGAATGTTCTGGGATCAAAGCACTGACAGAACCGTAACCACGACCGTCCATCCGGACACGATCGCCGACGCTTGAAGCCATGTTTGTTTACACTTTCAAAGTAGTCCCTGAAATTTTCATATAACCTCTCTAAGTTGCATCGATATCCGTATATGATGACCCCAACGAATACCGAAAATATCCGGTGACTTTATCCATTGTATGATAATAACCATTATTAGTTCTTTTGACAAGGCACCCGTGAAGAGCCACCTCCTCGTGGTGGGTGCTGGGTAACACCAAGTAGCTCTTCGACCCCCCCCCCCCCTGTGGACCCGGGAGTATATTTGGTCCACCAACCCGTTTGTCGTGGGTTGCGCGCCTGTGTCGGTTGAGAGGACGAGAGTCTGGTGGTTGAGGGCACTGGGAGCCTGGATCGTGTTCCTTTTGTCCAACACACCACTTTGCCCCTTACTTCACCCAGACGGGAGGTAGAACTGGCCCGATTCTATCAATCGGCTGGTCACGCCAAGCCGTGTGCTACAACTATGTACTATTGCACATATTTTTTGAAAATTATTACATGATATATTTTAAGTCTTGACGAATTTTTTAACTCAAAATTTCAAATTGACAATTTCATGTATGTTTTTGCCTAGAGTCGTATGCCCAGAAGGCGGTGGCTCATGGGCCAATCTGGTGGAATTATTAATCTTTTAATTTTTCTGCCGAAGTATATCATCCGGGTATCCCTGGTGCTGCAAGCTGGAGATCCGCTTGTTTTTAGTATTGTCCTTGTGATACTCCGTGGTGGGTGGGGAGCTCGGATGACGAACCATTAAAACTTAACCATGGCTTACGAAACTCCCAATAAGAAAACCAAACGTCAATTAGACACTGATCCAGTTGATAATGATCAAACACTGCCCACGTCCACTGGCTACGATTTCTTGTCATTGAAACTGTTGATAAGACACCATTAAAGTTGAACCTTTTGGCATATCTAAGGGCATTCAAGGTATTGCCGGTGAAGTTAAAAATATTAAACGTTAAGTTCCTGTGCTTTGCTGGATGAGTGTGGAAAACGGCAACGAACCACCAACCTTATGAGTACGATTCGTTTGTCGGCGTTCCGGTCAAGGTCACGGCTCATAAAACACTAAACACGAGCAAGGGAATCATCAGAGACCGTGATAGATTGTTTGCAGATATGTCGGAACTTGACATCGTCTCTGAGATGAAATATCAAGGCGTTCTCTATGTCAAAAGTTTCACAACCAAGAAAAACGACGCTGTTATAAAAACACCTATCTGTTTTCATTTTCATCACCAAATGCTCCAAAATCTCTGAAGGCAGGATATTGTAACATCAATGTTGACACGTACATTCCGAACCCTCTAAGGTGCTTCAAATGCCATAAGTTCGGTCATGGTGTAAATACTTGCACATTGTCTGTTGTATGTGCCACCTGTTGCGAAAAGACACATACAACAGAAGATTGTGACAGTAATGTCAAAAAATGTACCAACTGTGAAGGGGATCATCCCTCTTACTCTAAAAACTGTCCTGTTTGGAGATATCAAATTGAGATAAATAAGATAAAATTCACCCAAAACATCACTTTTGCAAATGCCCAAAAAATTGTCCAAAGCTCAGAACATAAGGACAGCTATGCTTCCGTAACCAGACCTTTATCAGAAGCAAACACTGGAGTCACAAAGTCATCTGCAAGTTGTCAGACAAACTTGACCTGGGTTAAAACGGAATCTCCTCAGATATTCTCACCTGCAACATCTACTCAAACAACAGAATCAGTTCCCAGGACGTCTCAAAGCCAATGTGAAACATTCTCTGATCTCAACTCATCATCTCAGTCGACATCAAAGTCTACACAGCTCGTTAAAGGCAAATATATGAAACAAGATTCTCTGAAAAAACTCAGTGGCAGAGCCTCAATAGGGTCGGAACATCATATCAAATTATACAACAAATATAGACCCCCAATAAAACCTCCCAAAAGATAGTTTATTATAATCCTATTATACAGTGAAATTGTAGGGGTTTAAGGGCTAATTTCCATGAATTACACATTTTAGTCCAGGATTTTACACCGTCAGCATTCTGTCTGCAGGAGACCTATTTAAAAGAGACAGATACTATTGACCTGCGTCTTTTTAAGGCATATCATTGTTTTTCGCCTCCGAGTGAAAGGGGCCACTGGAGGATCTTCAATCCTAATTAAACATAATGTTATCCATAGCCCTGCTTTATTTACTACTCATCTCCAAGCTGTTGCAGTGCGACTTACATTACACGTTGCATTTACATTATGTTCTATATATATCTCACCATCATCAACCTTTCAGAAGACTGATCTTCAAACTTTATATGATCAGTTACCCAAACCCTGTATTATTATGGCGAATTTAAATGGCCACAACCCTCTCTGGGGTGGTACAACTACTAATGCTAAAGACAAACTATTGGAAGAGTTCTGCTCCGATAATGATTTGTTCATATATAATGATGGTTCCAACACATATTTACATCCTGGTACAGGAACATATCCCGCTCTCGACCTGTCAGTCACAAATTCAGAATTACTGAATGAATTTGAATGGTCAGTCCACGATGACCTCTGTGGAAGTGACCATCTTCCTACTATACTAAATCCCGTTACTTCATCTGATGTTCCTCCATCATCAAGGCGGAATTTTAAAAAGGCTGACTGGGCTTTGTATGAAACACTGTGGAAACACTGAAAAACTTAAACCTGAACTTTTTATTGACGTTCCTGATCCTGTCAGATGTTTTTCTGATGCACTGAACATCATGGCTGATGAGTGTATACCAAAATCCTCTGCAATTCCACATATTCGAAAACCTTGGTTCAACGATAAATGCAAACAAGCTTGGAAGGCAAGGAAAAAAGCAGAACGTTATTTCCGTTGCCACCCTATGGAGCATAATTTTAAATTTTAAACTGCTGAAAGGCGGCGTACCACTAAACAGAATAAACATCAATCTTGGCAAAATTATGTATCCAAAATAAATTCTCGAACGCCCATGTCCAAAGTATGGAACATGGTGCAGAAAATTAAAGGCAAAGGTACCAAATCTAGCGTCCATCATCTTAAACATGGAGATCAATTACTTACTGATAAATCTGATATTGCGAACAAACTGGGTGAAACTCTTCCTAAACATTCTTTCTCTTCTAATTATGTGCCTAAATTCCAGCAATATCAAAAACAACAAGAAAGGAAACCTCTTAACTTTAATTCAGATAATGGGGAAGACTATAATGAACTATTTTCTATTCATGAACTCCATGCTGCTCTTGATCAAGCTCACAATACTGCTACAGGAGCAGATAACATACATTATCAACTCCTGAAACATTTACCGGAATCCTGTCTAGTAACTCTTTTAAATATTTTTGATGATATTTGGACGTCAGGGAAATTTCCTTCCTCATGGTGTGACTCTATAGTAGTACCCATATCTAAACCTGGACGTGACCATACGGATCCGTCCAATTTTCGACCAATTTCACTAACTAGCTGTGGACGAATGATAAATAATCGACTTGTTTGGTACTTGGAAACAAATAACCTTATAGCAGACATACAATTTGGTTTCCGTAAAACAGAAGTACTGTCGATCACCTAGTGCGTTTGAAAACATTTGTTAAAAACGCTCTAATTGTAGAATCATGTGTCATGATGTTTAATTTGCATAACTACCGGAAGTGTCTGTCTTGTCTTCTACCACACATGCGTCCTCTATTTTCCGTCCCGCCTGCCATGCTTGTGCGGAGTCTTTCATAACTTTCATTTCTTAAGTTTTGGTATAATCAACTTTGGACTCATGTCTTCGAAACGTAAGTGTTCCACTTGTAAAGAAGCTTTATCTGGACACGACGGGCCTTCCGGACGCTTATGCAAACAGAATGAAGACAACCTTTACCTCGTAGACGAAAGTTCCTTCGCTGCAGCGGCAGAAGACACCGGCTCCCGTGAAACGAGAACTTCAGGATAGTCTTCCTTTGCCTCAGGACGCGCAGAAATCTGCACTGGTCTCGGACTTAAATGAAACGATCCAGGCTTTAGAACGTCAAAACGGGGAGTTAGTGTCACAAATCTTAGCAGTGCGGCTGACGGGGAAAAAGCAGTCAACCGTTACCTTATCATCGTTGAGGAAGGACAAGACTGCCGTCAGCAGAGCGGATAGCAGAGCTCGTCAACTATTAGAATTAGACAGAACTACTGATTCGTCCTCCGACGACACCAGCTCAGAGCCAAACTCAACAGCCAAACAACCAGGTACGTCTGGATATTCTTTACTGAAACGAATAAAAGGGAAGAAGCCTAAATCAGGTTTCACTCGCACAGCAAGTTATAAAGCAGTTTTCGATGTTGCTTGGCCACAAGAATATTCTGGGAGTGAGGATACCTTGTATATGAACTTGTCAGTACCAGATTATCAGGGTGAAACACACATAATCCAATATGTTGAACTTTCATGCTACAAAGACAGTAGAGCTAACCACCTCATACAGTGCATGTTTTATGTTGAGAAATTCCTGTGGGCAAATGTTTTGCGTTTCCATCAAGATGTACTGCATGAGATTGAAAGTGGTCGTGCCACATGGAGTGATAGCTTTGAACATACAAAGGCCAGGAGACTTTTGGACCCCTAACCTGCCATCTACTGTGGCCCTTTCCAGAGGGGAGCATGCAGCAAAAAAGACAGGGAGCACAAGAATGCTCGTGGGCATCTGGAACAACATATTTGCAGCCAATGCCTCACACGTCGCCGGGTTTCTGCGAATCATCCAGCTAAACACTGCAAGCAGGTTAACACACCTTATAACAGGAATGCTCAGGCCAATCAGTTCAGAAGAAACTCTGATCATCAATCATCAAGTAATGCTCAGATGACATGACCTATCAAGGACACCCTAATGATTGCTCATAATTACTTCATTCAGTTACATGCTAAAATTTTCAACTCATGACTTCCAAATTGCAAAGGCAAGCGGCTCTCTGTGGCCTCCAGTATTAATATAAACTTTCTCCGAAGAAAGCTTGTCAATAACAGGGATACCGAATACAACGTTTCAGGGCTTGTTCTGGCCCCATCATCAGGTAAACTGAACAGTAACTGTTAACTCTGGCCGTGACGTCACAATGCTTATGACGTCACAATGCTATGACGACGCAATACATGTGGTGGTCAATAGATACAGATGACATGGCTAATAGAATACATGTTATTATGAATATATAAGATGTCATTTACTGCAAAATTAATGGATCAGTTTAGAACTGTGCAGATACTTATACAAAACTGTTGATTGAATTAGAACTGTACGGAGACGTATTTATAAATGTATAGAATGTAAAGTAATAGCAGTGTATACATAGAAATTATGCTTTATACATGGGAACAGTGACGAGGTAGGGTATTGTCTTATTGTTTTATGTACCATGCATTTGGGAGGTAGACACCCTGGTCCCTGTTTATTGCTGGTTTTGTGCGTTTGATGAAGATAGCCTCAATCAACTTGCGTTTACGCCAGTTAGGATTAATCATAATGTGTTCAGAAACTGCAGATTTCAGATCTGATTTGTCCACTGAAGTTTTGTGTTCTTTCACACGTGTAGCTACTGGTCTGCCTGTCTCACCAATGTAGATGTCACCACAGTCACATTTCAGTTTATACACACAGCCTTTAGGGTTGGATATAGCGTGATTGCACCCCTTACCATTTGGTAAAACTTCAGTGGACAAATCAGATCTGAAATCTGCAGTTTCTGAACACATTATGATTAATCCCGATCAATAAATTGACTGGGAAACTGAAGTCCCCTCAAAAAACATCAGTGACTGGCGTAAACTCAAGTTGATTGAGGCTATCTTCATCAAACACACAAAACCAGCAATAAACAGGGACCAGGGTGTCTACCTCCCAAATGCATGGTAAGGGGTGCAATCCAACCCTAAAGGCATGGTAAGGGGTATATCCAACCCTAAAGGCTGTGTGTATAAACTGAAATGTGACATCTACATTGGTGAGACAGGCAGACCAGTAGCTACACAATTTTGCAGTAAATGACATCTTATATATTCAAAATAACATGTATTCTATTAGCCATGTCATCTGTATCTATTGACCACCACATGTATTGCGTCGTCATAGCATTGTGACGTCATAAGCATTGTGACGTCACGGCCAGAGTTAACAGTTACTGTTCAGTTTACCTGATGATGGGGCCAGAACAAGCCCTGAAATGTTGTACTCAAGAATAAAAAGAAGATGTAACCCAGAACAATCTCTATCTTCATCAAATAGCATCTTCTAAAATGCCAATCAAGCATCTAGGGATACCGACGTTTTAGATTTTATGACTTTTGGATGGCCAGTGGGCTACACGAAGTGTCTCCTCCTTTACCAAAGGCTAGTCATCAGAATCATAGGTCAGTTATTAATTTCAAGGCACATATAGAAGATTTCATTGTGAAGGAACTTCACTACGGAGCCATTATGGGCCCTTTTGCCTCGCAACCTCTATGTTGTGAAATGATGTTGTCCCCTCTTATGTCAGTCCCTAAGAAAGACTCTCTGGAGAGAAGAACAGTCATGGACTTGTCTTTTCCTGGCAACTCTTCTGTCAATGATGGTATTCCTCAAGACAGTTCCCTAGGGGACCCTTGTAAACTACACTATCCATCCACTGATCATCTGATTCGGCTGATCATCTGATTCGCCTTATCAACAAGCATGGTAGAGGCTGCTTGATATCAAACGGTGTTATCGTTGGATACCAGTAGACCCAGGAGATTATCACCTGCTAGGTTTCACATGGAATGGACAATTATATTTCGACACAAAGGTGCCCTTTGGAATCCAGACAGGCGCTATGGCAGCTCAGAGAACTACAAATGCCCTCATGTACATATTTGAACAAAGAGGTTATGAAGGAGTCAACCACATTGATGACATAGCAAGATACCACAAAAGCTGAGGAGGGTTTTAGAGTCTTGCAAAATCTCATCATTGACATGGGGATGATGCCAGCAGTGGAAAAATGCTCCTTCCCAAGCGCTCAGTTGGTATTTTTGGGCAAGAAATTTGACACTATGGCTATGACAGTAGCTATTCCTCCTGAAAAATTAGTGGAAATCAAACAAGTGCTTCATAAAATGTTGTACAAGAAAACATGTACCAGACGGCAGTTACAGTCTCTGATTGGCAAGCTGGCTTACATATCAGACATAATCAGATCATCCAGGCTATTTATCGGTGGCTTTACTGCGCAGTGTGAAGAGTAACTTCTACCACATCAACATATCTCACGAGGCCCAGAAGGACATGCGATGGTTCTTAATATTCACGGAGGACATCAATGGAGTATCAATAATTCCAGACCATTCATGGAGTGGGTGTGACCACGTCATTGCCGCGGATGCCACTTTGGGTGGTATACGTGGTATCATGAACATCGACGACCAAGTGCATTTCTTTCATGCCTGTTTCCCTGACAGACTGTTAGGCCAACATATATGTGTTTGCGAAATGTTGGCAGTGTACATAGCCATTAAGTGCTGGTCTGATCAACTGCAGCGGAAACGCTTATTGATACATTGTGACAATTCTGCTTCAGTGGATCTGCTAGGCTCAGGAAAATGCAAAGATACAGTTATGCTTGCGATAGCTCGTAACATATGGTTTACTTGTGCCAACCAGAAAATATAAATCAAGGCAATACACCTCCCTGGAAAAGAAAACCGTGGCCCTGATTGTTTATCTTGATGGACAGATGATATCTCTTTCCAAACGTCATTTTTTGACATGTTCAAGGATTGTGCTTTAGTAGAATCTGGAATTAAAGACGTTCATTTTTCACTTGATCACTCTTTCTGACTTCAGGTTCACAGTGGAAAACACTAGGTACAGCAGTGAAGGCAGCTCAGCATGCTGCTTTCCGACCAGGTACACACAAAAACATGCACTGCCAGTTGAGAACCTCTCTTTTTTTCTGTGACGAAGTAAACTGTAAGGATTTTCCAACCACCACTGAAGTTTTGAGTCGTTATGCATGCTTTCTAACAGAGAACTTTAAGAGTGTCCAGTCAGTCAGAAACTACATTTCCGGAGTCAGGACCTGGTCTACCATCCTTGGCATAGACACTACAGATTTTTATGCTCCTAGTGTCAAACTCACACTAACCGGTCTGGAGAAAACGAGTACACACTTGGTCAATCAACGCTTACCTTTATGGCCTTGGCACTTGGAAGCCATGTTTCATCATTTTGATCCTCACAACAATGAAGACTTATCTTTGTGGGCGATGATTTTACTTGGATATTTTGCTATGCTCAGAAAATCACAGTTCATTAGCTCCACTGGAAACTCTTTTGACCATTCCAAACAGTTAACAAGATATGACATTTCTTTGGGTGTGTCAGGATTAACCATTCGGATTAAATGGACTAAAATCTCTACAGTCCTGCAGATCAGTGAATTATGTGCCTATAACAAGAATGCCTCATTCATTATGTTGCCCTGTGCGTGCCTATTGTCGTATGGTGAACGCCATACCAGCCAGACTTTCTGATCCAGCATTCGTTCAGTGCTACAAGGGACAGTTACGTTCTTGGTCTCGACAGCGATAAGACCAAAAGTTTAGCTGCCTTTTGCACAAATGTGGCTTGACTCTCAATCATACTCGTTCCACAGCTTAAGAAGGGGTGGCGCTTCGCTGGCTGCAGCTACAGGCTCAAGTGACAGTGACACTATTGTGCAATCTGCCTTTGGTCATCGTCGTCTTATAAGGACTATATCAAACTCTTGAGTTTCTGGCAGAATGGCACAAACATTTAAATAACTTGGTCAGAGTACAGAACTTTCCCATGTAGTCAGTCATATTTGTATTCTTAATCAGGCTGTCATAACTTGTCACAACTATATATGTTCACACATTACCAGTTTTTCTATTGCCTTGATTTTCTCAAAGGCTAAATGTCAAGCCATTTCCTTCATTTATTTGTATATATTGATGATTGCTTTCAGAAACTGTTTTTATACTGGGTCAAAAAAGAAACTTCACAAAATGTAATTTGAAAAATAATGAATACTTTTTCGCTGATGATACATCTATGTATCCGAAATGGGATCCCTATCTTTCGACTCTAGAAAAACGTTAGCAAAACCCACTCAAACCCATCCATTCGTCGTGCAAATGACGTTAGTGCCAAATCAGGTTTTGCAAGTGCAGTCGATCACGTGATCTTCGCATTGAAGTTTTCTTCATATGAACGTGTTTGCATTGGCTTCAAGCATTGAAAAAACACTTTTAAACCACAGTTCTCACGGTACTTAAAATGCCACGATTGTCAAATGTGCAACGTGAACGTGCCGTTGGCGTGTTGCAAGCGGGAAAATCAGTTATTGACGTCGAAAGAGCAATGGGATGCAGCCGTCGTACTGTGTATGACTTGCGAGGTCGTCTACAACAAACTGGCACCACTTCTGATCGCCCAAGGTCGCGTCGTCCGCGAACAACCGTTCCCGACTTCTGGTCATCCGTGGAAACCTCACAGCTGCTGCTTACCGCGACCAGGTGCTCACCCCTGAACCCGTTCCTTTCATGGCGGCTCATGGCCCAGGTCTACAGTTCCAGCATAATGCTCGGCCGCATACCGCGATGTCGACACGAAATTTCCTTTAAAACGCTGGAATCAACGTCATGGACTGGCCATCAAGGTCCCCTGACCTTAATCCAATAGATCACGTTTGGGATGCACTTGGGAGAAGGCTTTGTGGTCTTAGGAACCAACCTCAGAATTTGCAGGAACTTGGGGCTGCCATGCAAGAGCAATGGCGCAGAATCCCCAACCACGTGTTCACAAGCATCAGGCAGTCGATGAGGAGACTATGTTTGGCAGTGGTGAATGCGCGGGGCGGCCATACACGATATTGAACTGAGAAATTTCGCATTTTTATTCTTGTGACTTGACATTCTGTATTCCCATGTTTTGGAACGGCGGTGTAATCTAATTGAACTGATTATGGCACTGTCTGTGTATCGAGTACATCACACAAATCTCAGCAATGAAATAATAACAATTTAACAATTTAACCATCTCCCAACTCTTGTTCTTTTATAGTGCCCTGAAGAAAGAATGTGAAGTTTCTTTGTTGACTCAGTATATTATAATGTTGAATCTGCATAGCTGTTTGAACCTATATTTTCAACATGGCTTCCTTTTGGTTTAGATGTGATGTTATGTTACATATTTACTTTAAGACTGGAGAAATAGACGTATTGACAGGATGGTGCTTGCCTACTTCAAGTGGGTTACCTTTTTGGATCTGTCCGTGCAGATTTCTTTTGTCAACATTCTAGTTTCCCCCTCAATGTTAATTCATGCCTTCAGTTATATGGTTAATATTACAATTGTGAACTGATGTTTGGTAGACATTTTACTGTTCAGCTCTTGGATGCTCTCTCTCTTGTTTGGCGGGCTTTGCCTTGGTGTCAGTGGTGTTTATAGTATTTTAGGTCAGTCTTGGGCTGTGTGATATTTTTCACCTCAGCGACTTGTTTACCTATATTATTGAACTCCACCTTAACCGCCAAACAAGTGTTTGTTTATTTTCTTCATAGTGTTGATGGAGGTCTAGCAAATTGTAGAATCATGTGTCATGATGTTTTATTTGCATAACTACCGGAAGTGTCTGTCTTGTTCTCTACCACGCATGCGTCCTCGCCTTTCCGTCCTGCCTGCCATGCGTGTGCGGAGTCTTTCATAACTTTCATTTCTTAAGTTGTGGTATAATCACCCTCCATCCCTGCCTTCATATGTTCTTTCGTTTTCTTACTCAGCCTCATCACACATTGTTCTGCCTTAACACCTTCAATATTTTATCTGATCTTTCTGCTTATGACTTACAGCTCTGTTAATAGTGTTATTACTTGAGACATGCCATGATTATGGTGTCTGTGGTGTTTATAGTATTTTAGGTCAGTCTTGGGCTGTGTGATATTTTTCACCTAAGGGACTTATTAAACTCCACCTTAACCGCCAAACAAGTGTTTGTTTATTTTCTTCATAATGTGGATTGAGGTCTAGCAAATTAATAAACAAGACGAAGTGTCTGTCTTTTTTTATCTTGAAATAGCATATGACACGACGTGGATATATGGCATTATAAAAAAATTACATGGCTTCAGATTGCCAGGCCGTTTGCCTTAATTTATAGCCATCTTTTTAAATGACAGACAATTTCAAGTCCGCGTGGGTTCTACCGTGTCTAATCAATACAATCAGGATCAGGGTGTCCCACAAGGCAGTATCAAGATTAACAGTTTATCCAAGGTTTTAACCGATACAATCGATGGATCATTATTTGTGGATGATTTTAATATTTATTGTCGTGGGAAAAATATGCATACTATTGAACGGCAACTGCAGTTGTGTTTAAACAAAATAGATAAATGGTGTCTTGAAAACGGCTTTAAATTTTCGAAACCAAAAACTAACTGTGTACATTTATGCCGTAAATACAAACCTCATAAAGACCAAGAACTATCTTTAAATGGCAATCCCATCAAGTTGTGAAGAAGGCCAAGTTCCTGGGTCTAATTTTTGACTCCCATCTAACGTTTCTACCGCATATTAATCCCTTAAAACTAAATGCCTGAAGGCAACTGACTTGATGAAAGTCGTTTCAAATTCTAGTGAGTGAGTTTAGTTTAACGCCGCACTCAGCAATATACCAGCTATATGGCGGCGGTCTGTAAATAATCGAGTATGGACCAGACAATCCAGTGATCAACAGCATGAGCATCGATCTGCGCAATTGGGAACCGATGACATGTGTCAACTAAGTCAGTGAGCCTGACCACCCGAGCCTCTTACGACAAGCATAGTCGCCTTTTACGACAAGCATGGGTTACTGAAGACCAATTCTAACGCGGGACCTTCACGGGTTTCAACTTCTAAGTGGGGAGGGGATCAAGCTACCCTCCTACACCTGTATAGATCATTGGTCCGTTCAAACTTGATTATGGCACCATCGTATATGGTGGAGCCTGCAATGGCAACCTACAACTTTTAGATTCTATCCATCACCAAGGCCTGAGACTTTGTCTTGGCTCTTTTAGAACTTCCCCTGTTGACAGCCTCTACGTCGAGGCAGATGAGCCATCTCTTGCACAACGCCGTATAAAATTATCATTACAATATATTACCAAACTGTCCTCTAACAATTCTAACCCTGCATATAACTGTGTCTTTAATCCTCTTTATGGGGATTTATGCAACAAAAACTCTTCTCTTGTTCCGCCTCTTGGGCACAGAATTAAGCCATTCATTTCAACCTTGGCAACTGGTGAGGCCTGAAGTTGGCCTAACTCTGACAAAGTTTAAGAAATCTGAAACTAATGAATTACAATATAAACAAGAATATAATCAATTAAAAAGTGAATATAATACATACAAACCCTTATTTACAGATGGGTCCAAGGATGGTGGCGCAGTAGCATGTGCAGAACAATATTGGATTCAGAACAATATCTTCTCGACTACCAAATAATAGCTCTATTTTCACAGCAGAAGCAAACGCCATATTAACAGCTCTTAAATATATTAATAAACATCGTAAATATAAACAATACATCATCTTTTCCGAATCTCTTTCGTGCCTTCAGGCCATTAAAAACCTTTCTAAACCTTTCTTGTAAACATCCATTTTTAATTGAAATTATTTTATAATGAGCTTGCTACTGGCCAATGCGAAATGGTCTTTTGGTGGTTACCCAGCCATGTTGGCATTTCTTGGAACACAATGGCTGATCTTGCTGCTAAGGCAGCACTCAACAAATCTGTGACACCACTTCTTACCCCATACTCTGATTACAAGGCTAGCATTAGAACCTACATCCGTGATCTGATGCAGAAGAAGTGGGACACCCAAGTAGGTATCTTAAATTACATGAAATAAAACCCTTTACTGGTTACTCCTACTTGGGTTGTCAGTCCAGATTTGAAGAGGTCATCATATGACGATGTCGTATTGGCCACACAAGATATACTCATGAATACCGAATGAAAGGCGAGGACCCTCCGTTTTGTATCCCTTGTGATGAAAGAATCACGGTCAAGCATGTCTTGCTTGACTGTGTTGAATATTCCATCACAAGGGATATCTATTTCAAATCACGAACTATGAAGGATTTTTTTACTAATGTCAGTTCTCATTTAATTATTGCTTTTGTAAAAGAATTAGATTTGTTAACCCATTTGTAAATATATAAATATTTTATGATTGGAAGTTTGAATTAGTAGCTCGGATTGTAAGTGGCTGTATCCTCAAGGGGGATTAAAGTACTGTAAAACTATTGTCCTCCTGAGAGGATACGTAAGTCCCGAAACATTTGAAGAACAATTCTAATCTTCCACTTTTTTAATTGTAGTATTCTTGTCATTTTAATTTGTGGCTTAAGTTGCCTACAATCGCCAGCGGCTAAAGAGATAGTGTAAATCCAGCTAGGGTCCATGCAGGTAGCAAAAGTACTGTAAGTCCCCATCGTCCCTCGTATGGCGATCTACCTTCAGTTGTTGGCGATCTATAGCCAGCTTTTATATTGTTTTGTCCAGATAGTGCTATTAGTTTTAACTTTCTATACTAGTTTTAATTAAAATTGTGATATTCTAGTTGTTTTGCTGTCCTTCGATGACAGGTTTTTATAATATACATATAATCCATTTAACTCACTCACAGCGGTTGACGTCACGCTCCACAATGACGTCATAATCTTGTTTCATGACCTATTATAGCTAAAATGAAAAGAATTATTAAAACGCCTGCATTTTATATAAGAAATAAGCGGATCAATGTAACTTGATAATGCTCCCAAATTGCCATTATCACGCCCGATTTTAGGTGAGGTAATAAGGAGCTCAGCTCTTGATGTTCAATCACCTACGGCTCGTTTGAACTTGGTTTCAAGATTGTAGATTGTAGGAAAAATGTCCTCGGTAAAAAAGTACCGGAAAAAGTACTATTGTAATAAAAACCTATTTATTCATCAACTTTGAGGTCAAAGATTTTGAAAAAAACGATTGATAACTCCCACATATGGGTTATTAAATCGATTAAATATG